TAACATGACTAGTGTTCATGATATCATCGGTCCAACTTGACATTGGCAACTAAAACTTACATCAACAATGCCTGTTGGGAAAACAAAATTGAAGTCGCTTGACGCATAAAGCTGCTCACGGACTTACAATAAGGCGGCAACCAGCAGTAAGGGTTTGACCTATGTCAAAGTTAGTATTACCTTACAGTCTGCGTTGTCAGTACTTGCCATTGCATCGTATAGGTCCTGTTTGAGAAATTTACATCGTATCCAATCAAAGCAAATAACTATAAACGCACCTCGGTCACAATCTCACCAGCGTGCTCCCAGTCAACGGATGGATGGCTGTTACAGATCAGTATTTCTCAAAGTTTGGACTATCGTAACTGTTACCCTTTTCAAATCCATCTACACGGTGGCCATCACACGGGGACCATCCAAGTCGATGATTCGTCCTCCATGTCCAGAGTCTGGATGCATCATCAATTGCTTGTAAAATTACGGATACACGACTCACAGTGGAAGAATAAGCAATCTCCAGGTTGGGCGTCTTTCACTAACCACCGTAATGCGCTAAGATGTTCCGTTTCGTCGGCATGTATCTCAGATTGTATGGCTCATCTGTGAGCACCATAATGTCCTCTTTCGCATAATTCCAGGAGGCTGTTGACGGTTGCGTTACTTGATACTGGGTGAACAAGAGATGAAGATGAACGGACACTTTAGAAATTCTGCCATGTTCCAAGCATCATTACACAGCCGCGAAGCTCTCTATCCTGGCTTTGTAGTTTATGCCAATCTACCCAGAAATAAGCCGCACAAGGACGAACTTGAAAGGACTCACACATAATGCCTTCTTCTTCCTCGTATGTGGAATCAACACTTTGATTGTCTGCGGAATCTCTATCTGGTCGCTCGGGTCACAGTTGCACCTTGCGACGAAAGGTCGTCGTACAGCATACGGTGAGTGTACGTGATTCTCATGACTCAGTACTCTCTCTTGCATGCTGCTGAAGAGATTGAGTTGACTGCGTCCGTAAGCGGTGAAGCCGTGAGGTCAGGATCATGTTGTGCTGGCCAAGCATCTGGCGCAGTCCTCTCGTTGTACGTGAAACGGTAGGAAGGAACCGATGGAGGAAGGGCTGCATGTGCACTAAGAGGACGTCAGGGGAGGATGTTTGCATACCAGCGATCGGCGCGTTTTGATAGCCGTTTCTGCTAACTGATGTGAACAACTTGATCACGTGAAGTGGAATGAGCTTACTTCGGAGATGGCGATCGCCGCACAGGAACGACAGGGGTGGGTTGAGTATGGACTCCTTGATCTGTCCAGCCTTCCAAAAACGAATCAATACTGGGCAGGTGCATCGTGCATTGACGGTTGCATTACCCCTTGTTTCGATGACTGTTAAGTCATGGTACTACGTTAGTGAGGACGTAACGATCAGGATGGAAAACGTACGAAATCAGTCTGGAAGGAGGGACGGGCATGCGTGGTTATCGATGAGGGTGGCTTATCACTACTACCTACGATTCAGCGTGCGTGGGCAAGTAGCCAATGAAGGATCGAAACACGCGTTATATGAGAGCAAAGATTATCAAGCTCCCGCCGTCATAGCGCTAGATGATCTTGTCAATTTGACTATGACCACTGTCACTAAGTGATGATACATGCCAGTCTCGGCGAGCTTCGTTTGACAGGTGCATCGCTAGAAACGACGGATAGGAGGCAGACGAAGTGCTTATTTGCAAGACGGTACGGAGATTATATGGAGCTTGCGATCAAATAACCCCCTGTTGCCAGACAATAATCACTCTCGCGAGCATGGCTACGAAGAGGCGCGATAAGATACAAAACAGCGTGACCTGTGCCAATCTGGCCAATCATGGCTGTGCAAATGTTAGATGAACGGCATGTGAACCGCATCCAGGTTCGGGAAGGCTTCGGGTACATAGCCCAGCTCTGGGTTCTTTGCTGATCGATGAGAAGTGTCCTGAGCATCTGGACCGAATCAATTCGTACTCACGAGCGGCTTATATCGGAACGATGTCAACGAGATCAAATATGCACGATCATGTTAACATATAAGGAGTGATTACGACTCAATCCCATTCCCAAGCGTTCAGATATAGAAAGGCAATGTTGTATCCTGGTGCAATATCAGTGGCTATAGTCTGGATAAGAACACATCAACAAACGAGAGGATTTGAGCAGGAAAATTGAGGGTTCTTGTCTGGCGTCCGGTAAGGTCGCACGAACGAACGCGCGTATTTGTTCGATATACTTTGAAAGCTAGAGCCTGCGTGCAAGCTAACAAAGCAAATATTAGCCAGTCGAGCTAGCAATAAGAGCGCGACACGGACAGAAAACATGTATGAAAGCCTTCAAGGGAAGATTAGAAGGAACTGATGTCATGGTAGGTTTACCCACAAATGTCATAAGTCCGCCAATAGGTTGACCAGGCATTACGACACTCTCCCTCTCTTCGGAATCCCCACAACCTGAGAAGCAAACTGTTCGATGTTGATTCAGAAACACAACTCGCAAAAACTGGTTCTTACAACTTCTTCGCCTGGGAGTGCTTCCTGATGCGAGCATCGGGCGTAACGCCATCGGTGCACTTGCATTGTCTAGAGTCATACTATTGTGATGATCAGACAAAATCACAAAGAAGAAACTGCTTCTCTCACAAGGTAAGGCAAATCTAAGAATTATTCAGTATTTGTCAGCGATGAAATTGATTTGGGGCTCACCAAGCACCGTGCCGGAATGGCATGACTGAGGTCATTCGACTTTTTGAAGTTACGGTATCAAGGAACGTGCTTACAATCAAAGAGCGCCTATACAATTATGTTATTCGGTGATGTTGCGTCATTGATCACAAATTCGTACCGTCAACCGTGAGCCAGCAGCCAGCGGCTTTACCTGCGGGCGTTCTATCAGCGACTATTTGAAATACCATGTGAAATACCATGGGGTGTTCTTCGCGTCACGGTACTAACCATAATTTCGTGTATTTCCTGAGGAGCTAATCAGCCTTATCCTTTGATCAAAAAGGCAAACGCCTGACATCGTCGTTAATCACACCCGACTGTTGATAATCGACTGGACATATGACTTTGTGCACGTCAACAGTAACCTTTCTAATAAGGCCCTGAGTCCTACATTCATCATAACCATCAACTTCATCGCCATCCAGGTCGCGGACTTGGCCCCCATGCCCCGAAACTGTGTAAGACATCGCGTGATTCACAAGACCAACAGTTCCATCAAAGGAAGTACGTACAATAGAAGAACATGGAGTCACCTGCCCTTGCATAAAATGCCAGGCGGCGCATTTCAAGTAAAATATTGTGCTTAGTTGGCAGGGGGCCACAGCCGTCATCAATTAATTGTACAATGTCTGTGGGATCGTATCCCCATTGATCTAGAAAGGGGTCACTGATTCGCCACCGAATCGCCAACAACTGCACGTACTAATAAGGCATGGCGAGAGATTATGAATGTCATTATTGCACCCTCTCAGTTCATAGCGTTGACCTTTGTAATTGATTCCAATCTTATACACGGTTTCAGAAATATCGTTGGTTTGCAACACATTATGTAACACCCACCAACAATGCCCCGCTTTCTTCCAGGAGACCGTGGACTGGGTTGTGTGTACATCGGAATATAAGAAGCTTCTGACACGCGTCGGTTCAAATACGGTGCTCCAGAAGAACGAGGGCACCTCGAGAATTCGGCGAGGTGGTGGTGGCCTTGGACTGTGATTTCTTTTAGGACATTTGTCTTTGGATCCTTGATGGCTTCCACGAAGCGCACGTCCATCGACGTTATGGCATGTGTGGTGATCCTGATGAAGGAGGTCAACGCAGCGGGGAAAGAATTATCATCAATTTCGATGACTTCGGGTAACATGGCGTGCTGGGAAGGAATTAGAATGAATCAGAAGAGTGACTGGACGATGCAGGGTCGGTGACGGCCTTCACTGCGAGCTTTATAACTTAGCAACCGGTCAACATGTTTGCTCTCACGTCAAAATTGTTAAAGAGATGAAGCATTGTACTCGTGCGAGTTGGTCGACTGCAATGCGGGGGAAGAGCTTGTCATTGCAAACAATGCCAAGTACAAGGTGCACGAATAGAATGATTGTCGTCATGATGCGGGGGTCATGGCAGCCACCATAGTTAGGGACTTGAAAACGGACGGTTGTCGAATATTAAACCTTTGACAATATTAGTGGCATATCAACCCTGGTAATCCTGTGAACGGTAGTTGGGGAAAACATCACAAGACGTAGTACGTACAGACGACTCATAGAAGAGTGTGTAGAGCAGAATTTGCATACCCAAGCTGCCTTTCGAACATGGGGCATCTACGTTGTTAGACGCCTCGAAAATATGATCAAGTTGGTCGGTACTGATGAATTCAAAGGGCAAACAAGTATAAATAGTCGTAGTATCCTAAGTATTAGTCGTAAATGCCAATACGCAGGCAATAACCATATCGTCCCATGACTTGTTACCCCCAAATCCCAAAATCCCAAGATCTCATAACCGAGCCCATCTACCACCATGGATGACAGTCTCCACCGTCCCACGAGAAAACCCTGTCTGCATCGCCTACGACCATCACACTTCTTGCCATCCATGCACCATCGTACACCTTTTTCGATCCACCACTGGAGCACGGGGGTGACGCATAAACCACTTGAAGTAGAAATAAAACCTAACATGATACATGAGCCAATATCCCGATAATGTAGCATGCGACAAACCTCCAGTCGTAACCGTTGATCACCTTTGGGTTAAGATATATGCGCTGCAGATTGAACTGTCGCCTCATATCATATGGGAGCAAGAAACTTTCTGACGAAAAACATTCCCCTGGCGCAGACGCGCGGAATTGTATTGGGGGTGTCAGAGCAGGACTCGGACCCTGCATCGAGGCATTGTGTGCTGCTGGGTGGGTTGCCGGCAATTCGTATGGTAGAGGATCGTTGGAAAGCGTGCGATTAGAGCGCAAGGCTACCGGGAGAAGAGGATCTGCAGTGAAGACAACGATGCCGTTCCAGCAGGTGAATACGGGCACAGGAGACCCGGCATGCATTGCTTGATAGTCAGCTTCGTCGAAGAAATATGGCCAGCTAGATACCGAACAGACTGAATTAGATATATGGGAAAATAGGATTCGCAACTTACATTGCACTGGCTAGCTTTGCCTGTCGATCTCGAAGAACCCACATATCATATGCGCTTTACCACGATTAGAATGATAGATGTGCCGTAGCAGCTGGATGTGCCTACCCAAAATGACCCATGTCTAAGCCACATGCCATGTCATAGTCCCCATCGTTTCGTTTTCTAACAGCTCGACAAAGCTCTCGGGCTCGATAAATATGTCATTCGAGAACACCACCCTATCATACCCTCCTACTAGCAGAGGCTCCATTGCACGATTACGCGTGGGCCGATAGGTATTCAATGCGTTTGTTTCCGCCCAAATCGTCGGGCTTTGGTACTGCTTTATCTCTTGTGAGTATGCGCCGTGACACGCCCAAAAGTGCAAGGTCTGCATCTAGTGCTTCAAGGAGCTGAGGGGAACTATCGGTACTGTTACTCTCAACGACAGAGACGAACACGTTGTCTGGGACCGAGATAGTGAATGACTTTGATGAGAGTGTCGTGCCAGTATGGAATAACATTTTCGTTATCGTGGAACATGGCGGTAATGAAAATTTTCTCTGAAGCGGGATAAATTGCATTCGAGTTATGAATTCAGAGGAGCTCACCTTGCTTTCCGTACCCTTGTTTTCGAGGATGTGCAACGGCCTCCTGAATGGAATCCCTGTACCGTACGTCCCCAGGCTGCTCGTAGTGGACTCCGACCCACGTGCTTACACAAAACAAGACGACATACGCAAAAAAGCTGTATCTTCCACGGTTTGAGATAGGGCACCAGACGCGGAGTAGCCTTAGGAGAACTTGGTCTAGATAATGAGCGAACACCAGCACCTTCTTCCGCATGTTTCGATGAACGCATTTTCTTCCTCGTCAGCGTTAAAAAGATCACGTCCGCCAATAGAGCTGTCTCGATGGAACATAACATACCCTTCCTCGGAAGGGTGCCGGGTTCCAAAAGCCTTATTCCACCGATTGATAAGCAGGGAAGTAGGAATCGATAAGCTAAAAGACGGAGTATTTCGACGAATGCAAAGATGGGCACTATGAGGATGAGGAGGAGTATGAACCTCCAGCTTGAAGGAAAGGCAGGATGCCATGTGTAGTCTTCTGGGAAAAACTTGTCGGAAAAACCGTTCCTCAGTTTTGTTGTCAAGAGTGATGAAAATATAGAGGGAGACAAGACCAGGAAAGCGGATTATTGCGAGGAAGATACGACAAATAACATAGATAAAGGCCTTTGAGCTTAAGCTTCGTTATGGACATGCGTAACACGGGAAATGAAGCCAGCGCTCACTAAACGGGAATGAAGGAAGGGGGAAAGATGAAGTCAGTAGGCTGTGGTGCATCATATAATCCAACTAGCTGGTTGTGTGATTCTTATATCCCGAAAGAAGGCAGACCCTATCTATTCTCAGCCATGATGCGTTGCACTGCGCGGGTGCTAACTTGAGAGTCCAAAAATAGAACACTTGCTCCGCTACAGTCGCATTCACATCGGTACAATCCTCAATATAGATTTTAAGAATACTATAGCTACACTCGTACATCACAAGTCGATGTCTACCGAAAGTCCATTGGCAACCCCAAGAGCTGGGCTTTGTAAGGATGCGTACCTCCAGGCCTGGCCAGGCTATATCCACGCTAGAGCGCTTCAATCGAGACTCGTCTCGCATGCACAAATGAGCCAATCACGGACAACAGCACGCCCCATCCAGGATAAATCGTCGACGTGAACGACAGAAGTAAAAAAAAAAGTCTGCAGGATGATTGACAAGTAGAAGACGTATTGATAATCGACAGATGTGTCCGAGTTCAACATCACACCCATGCCTATAAACTGTCAGAACCTCGCATAGGACCAGAGGTAGACTCGACAAATGTTAGAGGAAGACACAAGTCCAAATCCGTGCGAAACCAACAGAGTGCATTCCCCACAGTCTGACGAGTAGTGAGAGGCCCCAGCTACTTATTATCTAACAGGTGGTGACAACATCCTGTGTAACAACGTCAGTTTGATGTTTCATCTCATGACATGTGACTACTAGTTGACTCATCCCTGATGATGGGTGACTTAGGTCGCCGTCGCTCTCCATCTCTTCAAAATTCAAATAAGGACTCTCGCGTCGGTCCTTACAAATATTACTTCGCCGTGCTGTGTGCTGGCCCGTTGAATTCGGTGACCGACAGCGCTGAAGTGCTATGAGTCCCGTCGTGAGGGTAGCGCTAAAGCGCTAGTAAGCCTCGACGACTTCCAAAAACAGATGTCCTTGGCGAGTCTGACAGAGCTGCCCCAGTCCAGTCAAAATAAAGCCGCTGTTCTAGCAGAGATGCTCTTTTTTCATCGCTTTCCCAGTCAGAACTCCCTCTCCAGGTCTTCTTGGCTTTTCTCCTCACCGGTAAGTCACTCAACCATTCATTAGGACTATATAAGCTTTGTGCTGGAATGTGCTCACCGTGATCTCCGCCATGCCAGGTTGTCCTGCTTTCCTGCTGTTCCCGCGCTTTAAGGTCGTATACCCAAGTTAACACAATGATGTGGGACCTACGCGGCAACGATGCCGCTCAAGATCGGCGACGTTCTCCGAATCCTAGGTTTCCAATGCCATCGTGAGTTACAACACCCTTGATCTGCGTTGTTCACAATAGCTAAGTATAATCATATAGCCCTGGAATCCCACCAGTGAGGTACGCAACGGTCTGCATGATACAGTAAATCGTTACTGATAAAAATGACTATCACAGAGACCTGCATCAATCCCATGATCCGTTTCCCCGGCCATTTGAACCTCTCGGTCTGCCCAACGCTCCGCGATCAGCGTCACCAAAGTGAATTTTTTCCGCCTTTTCTGCAATGAACGTGTTGACAGGTTCACAACGCATTTCCCCACAGTCCCCGGTAAGCTTCAAATTAGATATCATATTCATATGGTATTTATTCAATTGGCCGCTTTCATTACTTCATTGATCTCTTACAGCATGTTTTCACATGAGAATCCCCCTTCGCTTATCCAGGAAGGCTTTCCTTCTCGCGCGCGCGCACCTCCCCCACCGATCCCCCATGCAACGCGACCACCCCCATCTCCCTATATGTCTCTACCACCACCTCACCCTTTGATGTCTCGTCGTCCACCGCGTCCTCCACCCATGCCTGTCCCGCAAATCGTTTCAAATTCATTCAATGTCCAACCGTCATCCAGAAATAATACACTGATGCACACGCTCACACTCAAGTTCATTCTCACAGGCACGGGCATCACCAACATTCTCATTCGACTTCTGCCATACCTAAGCCTATTCGTCGCACCACCTCGCAGCAGCTCCGTTTCGCGCCACCCACCCAGCCTTCGTCCCACTCACTTCAGCACGCAATCAGTTCGCAAAATTTGCACCGCTCACGTTCTTCACAACATCTACGTCCGCCAGCGCCTCACTCAGGTCCCTCAGGTAATGGTCAGCGATCGCGCTTAAACTCGGCAAGTAGCGCGCATAGGCCTATCGTTCATCCTCAGCAGCAGGTGCAGCCACATGTTCACCAACAGGTCGTGCATCATAACGGTCATGTTCATTTCCAATATTCCAAGTGCAACGGGCGGAAGAAAGCACTATGCGTAAGTGAAGATACAATATTAGTTGAAAATTCAAGTTGAGTCTTTTTTGAGATCGGAATTAACTATACAGGTCAACGACGCGAGCTTCGGGGCTGTATCAACGATGCGCACAATGTGAAGCGGTTTTTAACATGTGCGTTGTTGGTTGATTGTCGCAGCGCCGATACTCATACCTTGCCCTAGCCAATTGGGGCTACAAAAACGGCGATATTGTAATGTTGGTCGATGACACCAACAATTCGAGGCAAATGCCAACAAGGCAAAACATTCTGGATGCGATGCGTTGGCTTGTGAAGGACGCTCATCCTCATGATGCACTGTTTTTCCACTGTACGTTATTCTTCGCACCTTTGGGTATAATTTCCGAATATCCTCCTCGTCGTCTAGACTCGGGCCACGGGGGACAGATTCCAGACCAGGATGGGGATGAAGCTGATGGACTTGATGAAGGTAAGGGGTATTCTCTTCTCTTTAGAATATCGTTAGATTTCATCACTTGCAGTTATATACCCTGTCGACTACAAGAAGGCCGGATTAATTGTTGATGACGTGAGGACTTGCTATTTTCAATCTGTTTATGCTCATAACTCCAATGCAGGAAATGCACCGCATTATGGTACGCTTGTCGCACGATAGGAGAAACACCCCGGTCTGAGAAATTTCACAGGTCAAATCATTGCCTGCGGGTTGTCGTTTGACTGTAAGTCTTCACATTTAGCTTCATGTTCGGAGCTTATATAACCCCATCCATCCAGGCTATCTTTGACGTAAGGTCGTCTCACAACGCGCTCATCAGACAAATCTGATAGATTCCTAGTCTTGTCACTCAGGAACGGCACTAGGTAAGTACATCGTTCCGCAGTGATAAAGGTTGACTGAAAGTCCATGACTGCTAGATTTGCCATACATCGTGAGCACGATACTTGCTTCAGTCAGTATTGGGACTGATCATCTCGTAGTATCATTCGAATGGACGCCTCAAGGGAAACAGTACAACACCGCAGTTTCAAGCAGCGAAGGCCACAAATGCTGACGTGGTAAGTGACTGCCTGGCATTATGTGCTCTGTACTTCTGCCGCTTGCCTTCTATCTAGATATCATTCTCGGGCTGTCGCGACGATCAAACTAGTGCTGATACAAGACAGGGTGGTATGGCTGTTGGGGCTATGAGCTACGTGAGCGATATATTCATTGAAATCTCTCCACCTGTTTGCAGCTGACATGCATGGACAGGCCTTTGTCAAGTCTTTATGTTGGTCGGGAGTTTTGTTTCTTCTTGCATGAGACTGACTTAGCGCACAGCAAGGAATCCAGTACAAACTTACCAAGAACTGCTCAAGTCTATTAGGGACATTTTGAAGCAACATTATCAGCAGAAACCGCAACTATCGAGCTCGCACCCCATTGTAAGCCTTGCAGTTTGTAGTGTGGTAGATTCAGATTAACACCGCTTTTCTCAGGATACTAATTTACGCTTCATCCTCTAACGTGACGATTTTGGGCATTATTATTATGCTGCGGTGCTCGCAATACTTATATCATATTAACCAACTTAGTGTTCTATGTACGAGACTAGTATTTATGTATCAGTCTTGGTCTCTCGTTGACGAGATATGTATGTCTAGTTTCGAGCGGTGAAAACGCACCGAGGTACTTTGAATCAACCCTTCTCTTGTTCCGCATCACTATATTTTCACGTACTCTTGTCCACAATGATTCTAATGATTACCCAAGAGTCAAGTTACCCCTGCGCTTGATATTTATTGCCTTGTTTAAATATCAAGATCAACTAGAAGCAATCTGCTTCTCGGCACTTGAGGTGAGCAATGTTTTCAAAGTATACCATGGCTCCGAGGACGACTCAGAATGTAAGTAGTGGCCTGGCGTGAACAGACAGGGACGCACCAAATCATAGTATCCGAGTCACCGTGGAAGTGAGTTTACATTACTGCTGCGCACTGACAGGCACAACTCACTGTCACGCTCCCGCTAGCCCTGCCTTTAACTAACAAGGTTAGCCTTGACTCTTTATACATATCACTGCACGGCACTTTTTCTAAGCTTTCCCGACTGGTCAGATGTCATCTTGTTCATAGCGCCGGTATGCGCGCTGACAGGCTGTACACAGGTGGTGACTCCATTGAAGCTTTAGCGCTATGGGCCCTCCTAGGGTTGCCTAGGGTCCACTTTTTGCCTCCCACGGTCCAAAAAGGGGGGTTTAACGCCGCAACCACTATGCCTGGCCCTCTAGGACTGCCACCGCCAACACCACCATCATTCGACCCCTATGCCTGGCGCTCTAGGACTGCCGCCGCTACACCACCATCATTCGACCCCCCTCTGTGCGCAGTGGCACTCTGAGACTGCCACCCATGCTACATCGTCAATCAATCATCCACTATGCCTGGCGCTCTAGGACTGCCGCCGCTACACCACCATCATTCGACCCCCGGCACTCCACCACTCATCACCATTCGACCCCCCCCCCTCTAAGCTGGCCACTCACCACCATTTCTCACTATGCCTGGCGCTCTAGGACTGCCGCCGCCAACACCACCATCATTCGACCCCACTTCTCATCATACTTGCAAAACCCCCTCCAAAAATGACCCTGCACACAGCGGCCATCCAGGAAGGCCACCATGCCGCACCTTGGACTGCTGCCGCCGCACCACCATCATTCCCCCCTCCCCCCCTCTAAGCTGGCCACTCACCACCATTCTCACTATGCCTGGCGCTCTAGGACTGCCGCCGCCGCACCACCATCATCCGCCTGGCACTCTAGGACTGCCGCCGCTGCACCACCATCATTCGACCGCCGCCTGGCACTCTAGGACTGCCCCCCACCACACCACCATCATTCAACCCCCACTCCACAATCTCTCCCTATGCACATTCTGAGAGTGCCACCCATGGTGTACATGCTAAACCCCACAACAGTTCCTCTACCAAAAATCACCCTGTGCACAGTGGCAGTCTGAGACTGCCACCAACGGACACCTCCATTGTGAGAATCTGATCAACTGCTACATCTGCTCACAACCACAGCAGTTCCTCCTATGAAAAATCACACTTTGCACACAGTGGCACTCTGAGACTGCCATACATGATAACCCCTCCATGCACCATTCTCTACTAGACCCCCACACCACAGTGGCACTCTAGGACTGCCACCAAAACCCCCTCTAAAAATGACCCTGCGCACAGCGGCCATCCAGGAAGGCTGCCATGTGTCATCATTCTCATCATACACACAATCCACTGCAATTTCTCTATCAAAAATTGACCCCACATGCGGTGGCACTCTAGGACTGCCACAAATATGTCGCTATTCTTGATATTGTATATACAAACAACATTTCTCTAATCAAAAAGTGGCACTCTAGGACTGCCACCATGCACACCTTCAAAACAAAATATGTCACCATTCTGGATATTGTATATGAGGTTGCGCACTTAACATTTCTCAATGAAAAATGGACCCCACACGCAGTGGCACTCTGAGACTGCCGCTATGCCCACACCTTTGGTTTTCATTCGCATCATCCTATCTTTGCGCACCTTTGACATGCATCAGTAAACTACAATAGCCTCCTACAGCTCCTACAGAGTGCTACAGTGCTGACCCCACACGCAGTGTGGCACTCTGAGACTGCCACTATGCCTACACCTTTGACATACATCAGAAAACTACAATATCCTCCTACAGCTCCTACAGAGTGCTACAGTGCTTTAGTTTGGTAAAATTGACTCCACATGCAGTGGCACTCTAGGACTGCCACTATGGCCCCACATCTTTGATTTTCAATTCACACCACCCACAACATTTCTCTATCAAAAAAAAAACCCCACACACAGTGGCGCTCTAAGACTGCCACTATGCACACACTTTTGGTTTTTTATTCACACCACCCTATCTTTGCGCACCTTTGACATATGTCACTCTTTTCAGAGTCATTTCATTCATATGACCCAAAGATCTCATTGTCAGCATATGTTCATGCTGTTTCATTTTCATTCACACCACACCACATCATGATCTTCAAAGTCACAACCACACTTAAAATGACCTTATGCACAGCAGCACTCTAGGACTTCCACCATGCACATCTTACTAAAATTGACCAGGCATGATGTTAATGAAATGACTTTTGACAATGTTCATGGTTGGGAATTAGTGACATATGCCCCAGATATGATGTACCAATGAGGCAGATGGACAAGTGACCCACACACAGTAGCAGTCTTAGAGTGCCACTATGCATTTCTCAATGAAAAATGGACCCCACATGCAGTGGCACTCTAAGACTGCCACTATGCCCACACCTTTGGTTTTCATTCATACCACCCTATCTTTGCGCACTTTTGACCATGTCAATGTCCTTTGAAATCACACCACCCTATCTTTGCGCACTTTTGACATATGTCAAGGTCCAGACTAGGTTCATGGAAGATATACAGCAGAGCAACATTGAAAGTTTGCATTTAATGTCTTTGCATTATTGTCAACCATTGCATCTTGAATCTTGAATATCAAATTTGTGTGCATGCATATGCCACTGTACTGTACATCTTTAGCTTTGTGACAGGCTAATTGAATTAGATATCCTTCTTCATGGCTCTTCTGGAAAAACACCACATTCTCTTCTCTAGTCAATTTAATTAAGGACAAGTATTACTTGAAATCCATGGGGCTTTTTGGGGCTTTTCTGGGCATCCAGAAAATCAGGACATGAAGAGAACAATGGTTTAGACTGCAGTGAAAAAATGTGGTCAATGAAGAACACAGGGTGAGGTTTAGGTGGCTCACATCAGGGTTGAACTGCAGTGAAAAAACTGTGGTCAATGAAGAACACCAGGTAAAGTTTGCTTTACTCATAATGACAAAAAAATGGTGTATGGCATGAGTAAATGTATGTTCTTCAGGGGAACAAGGAGGAGGGAGTGTCTGTGTGGTGATGGAGTAAGGAAGGCTTGTGTGGATTGTCTTAACAAACACCTTATCCTTCATGACTGTAGTGTCATTTACCCAATGCACATGTTCCTCATGTTCCTTTTCAAGGCCCAATGCCTTGGCTCCCTTCATCCCAAGTTGATTGAAATCCCACATTTGTATTGTTCTGCAAGGGTTGACCTGCAGTGGCTTTAAGTGACGTGACGAGGGAAACAAATCTGCTTCTGAACATGTATCCAGTCCAGATATGAGAGTGTGGTGGAGACTTCAAAAGTGTGTACCTGTGGGACCCCATGTGTCCCAGCTGATAAATATGTGGAGAAGTCCGTGGGGGAAGGGTCATAACATAAGATAATAATATATTCCCTGGTTGTGAACAGGTCATACCAGACCTGCTTCTTCTTCTTCATCTTCTTCTCCTTAACCCAGGTGGTAATGAGGAGAAGTCTTTGTCCAAGTGCTATGGAGAAGGGAATGTGTGCCTTTGGGTTAGGCTTCCACTTGGGTGAAGTGTCAAAGCAAATTACAATTGCCACAGGGCTGGCCCTAAGGTCGAAAGGCAGGAATCCAAAAACACAAACATAATCTGCTGTGAGGGTAACCTTGCTGGTGGAAGGTTTTGGTATGTCCAGAACAAAAAGTCAAGGCTCTGTAACTTCATCCTCATTCATCACTGTTACCACAATAGAAGGTGAGAAGTGAGGAAAGTAAAGGTGCAAATTCCATGACTGGAGCGTGTCTGGGGCAGATGGTATCAGAATAATGGGTAACAAGAACTCATCTACAATTTGAATCACCAGTATGAGTTTGCCCATTTTCCAGTTCCATACAGTAAGCTCTGGAGTGTTGTTTAACTTTTCTTTTGGAGCCATGGACAAGACACCAAGGAAGTCACTGGATACCTGGATGCTAAAATTTTACTTTGGTGCATTGCATATCCAGATTAGGGTTGATAACTCGAACTGCATCAATAACAGACAGATGAACATGTCCAGTAGTGACAGATCCCAGGTGTATCTGAATCTATATATGTGATGTCATGTTATCACAGGCTGGACTGTAGTTTGTTTCAGAATCAGATACTTGACATGCGCCACATACATGAGAATGGGCTTCTCAACCAGCACCAGAAGATCTTGTGCAAGTACTGCAATGCTTTGTTATAGACCATGAGGCAAGGAATATGATGTACCAATGAGGCAGATGGACAACTTCATGCTAAAAATTCTTGATCTGTCAGAGGTTTTTTACATATAATCATCACCACATATTCAACTGTTCTTGGCAGGAAAGATGAAGAGTCTTACTGTAGTCAACCAGGAGATGGAGACCATTTAGGGTCAAGTTGGAATTGATGGCAAATTTATGATATATGCAATTCCTACTATAGTCTATGCACTTCCCCTGAATTTTCTATACCTTACTTCAATTTAATTTGGACATTTCTGAGCATGTATCACCAAGATACAACTTAGCAGTTCAAATTAAATACTTAACATACTCTTTATCCTTTCTATAATTCTTTATTTTATTTACCCCTATGACAAACATATGTACATACACATTCTATGCACACTTTATTTACATCTATGTACTCAAGGCAGTGATGCCAACCAAACCAAGATATACAATGAACAGCTTGGAATGGATTGGTAATCAATGCACAGCATAAGGCAGTGCTAGAAGGACCTGAACACAGCCTTTGCTGAGTATTCTAGAACATTCTATGAGTATCTTACCAATCATTCTATGACATTCCATAACATTCCATGACATTCTATAAACATTCTATAACATTCTATAGTTCTTTCTCAATAATTCTGACACATTCTGGAATATTCTATAGTACATCAGTAATCAGTAGCACAGCCACTAGTCTAGTAGTATATAAGGGGTTTTATTTTCCCCTCTTGTGAAGCATAGTTAGGGGAACATAGGGGAACATTCTTTCACCCCTTAGATTCTTTGTCCCCAGTATTTGAGTGAACATTCAAGTGAATATCAGGAGAAATATTGGCTTATTTAGCTCCATTGTTTTGACATTATTCTTCACATTCTTCAGAAGTATTTGGCCACATTCTTGAGCCACATTTGATTACATAATCTTCAATTAGCACATTCTTAAAGCACATTCTTCAGAAGTATTTGGCCACATTCTTGAGCCATCTTTGATTCTATCGTCTTCAATCATTCTAGTTCTCTTTTAGACACAGGAAAAGTTCTGTGGGGAGAATTTCATGTATTATTCATCAATTAGGGTAGACACAAATAAGACCTACAATCTGTCAATGAATATTAAGAGCTTGGCCACTTAATACTACATCAAGAAGGTATACTCTATTCTGGACTGTGTCATTACTCATTGTGAGATCCTGAGCAGCAGAGAGTTGGTTTCAAGGCTACAGTATTGGGACGATCCCGCTAGTGAATTTGTTCTCCATTGCTGAAGTATAAGTAAAGAATATCCAAGAGGGATATAGTATAGTTCTAGTTCATTGCATACAGCTGCAACACATTATTCTAAAGGTTATAGCACTATCTTGTGCTACTATTGGTTTCTATTGTTATTCGTTTCTATTGTTTCTTTGCCCCTTTTACATCACTAGTGTTCGCTTGAAAAAGTTCAACACACCTGGTCCCCCACGAACAACCATGTTATCAACCGTTGGTAATTGTCTGAACTGTTTGACCATGGAGGATTGTGAAAATTTGGAGAGTTTTCTTGCCTTTCACATCCTAGTAAGACAAAATTGGAGCCCACCACGAGGGGGGAAATCTTGTTGTTTCTTGATAACGCTCCTGATTGTTTTATCTTAAATTAGTTTGATCATCATCATCATCATCAACATCATTATGGGTAGCATTGGAGGCACAAACCCCGTTAGTTCTTCATCAACGAGTGGATTACCAACATCTACTACTCAAGTACCAGCAGCATCATCATTGAGCACAGCCACATCAGCCACAATGACAACATCTGTGCCACCTGTTTTCCCCACAGGTATCATGGGAATAACTCAGCCACAAGGACCATATATATTACCAAATCCAGGAACTAAGCATGCACCACCCAAATTTAGGGGTGAATACACACAAGTCAATCATTTCATCAAGAGATATGAGAAGCTTTGTCAACAATACCAAATAACAAATCCTAAAGATATTTGCGAGAACATTACCCAATATTGTTCAACACGTGTAACTGATCTTATTGAAGTATTAGAAGGATATACCACACATGACTGGGTATCGCTTAAAACTGATCTGTTGAAATACTTTGATGCAGATCGTGATTCTAAGCGATACACACAGCAGGATTTAATGCACTTTGCCATTAAGCAAAAGCAGAAGCCCATCAAGACTCTTTTGGAATGGGAGCGTTATATGAGGGAGTTTACGACCATTGGAGGATGGCTCATGACACACAAAAGCTTAGTGTTAGTGACCATGCCACATACCTTTGGAAGGGAATTCATAAGAATTGAGGAGGAGAATTGAGAGTAGGCTAATTGCAAAGGACCCATTGCGAGATCATTCGACACCATATACTCCAGCTGAGATCATTGCAACAGTAGAGAAATGTCTACAACGGGACCCGCTTTGAAACCAATTTAGCTTATTCCGACTCAGATACATCATCAGAAGAGGAGACCAGCTCTAGTTCAGAATCAGATAGCGATTCAGGAAGTGATAGTGATTCTGAGTCTGAGGATGATTATAAGTCTAGGCATAAATCGAACAAGAAGCATACCAAGTCTAAGTTGAAATCTAGCAAGCACAAAGTTAGGTTTGATGACAGCACAGATGATGAGGTAAGCAGCCACAAGAGCTGAAAAATGAAATCTAAGTCAAAGAAGTCAAAATCAAAGGATTCTGACTCTGATTCAGATAATTCAAGAAGTGAGGAGAAAGAAGTAAAAAGTAAGAGTAACAGAAAGCTTAAAGCCAAAGCTAAGGAAAAGGAGCAGATAGAAGACCTGATTATATGCCTAAATAGTCTGTCTTTGGGTGACCCAAGTTATGCATTACTATACTTTAGGGCACAAAAGATAGATTCATCAATAGTGAATGTGTTCCCTAAGCCTGTGAAGCAAGGAAGTTTCAATAGGCCACCACCTCAAGTTCCACCAAGACCACAGGAAGGACAACAACTGCAAATCATGCCAAGCCCTCCTACCAATATTAGATTAGGAGCAACTAAGTATCCCTGTTTCGGGTGCGGAGGTAGTCACAATCTATTAGCTTGTCCTGAAATCAATGCTCTGGTGGAAAAAGGATTACTAGCAAGACATATATTCGGAAGAATAACACTACCAGGAGGAATTCATATTCGTCGTGAAGGAGATGAGACAATTATTATGGCTCATCAGAGAATGATGGGTAATCAGCAACCTGCAAGTACACATTTTGTCAAGATAGTCTCTGAAGATGAGCAGGATACAAGTGATCATGAAGTATATTTTATTCCTATAGTGGCAAGTGATTTAGAAAGTGAAATAGAGTATCTAGCTTACCCAGCTGAGAGGACTATCAAAGACAGATCAGGGAAACGATGTGAAGTCTTTGATGGTGTATACCCACCACCAGCTAAGGAATATTGAGAATCACTTAAGAGAGAACAGTGCCAGTGTTCTGAAGATCGAGATAATAAGGAGAATATACCTGCTAGCGCAAGACGCACATTTGGTCCTGTCACTAGGAGCCAAACAAAGAGGCTAGCAGATGACAACATTAATTCAACAAGTAGGATAGAAGAAATAGAAAAGGAGAAGAAGGTAATACCAACTAACCCACTAGTAGGAAGAACTCAAGTTCATGAGGTGATCCAAATCACCAAGCCTGTTAGAGTACGGCCAGGACCAGGAGCACCTCCATCAAGAGAGTTTATTCCCACGGAGGTTAAAAGGGTAGAAGAAAAGAAGTATGTTTCATCAGCTTTACCAAGGGAAATACGTCAAATACCTGTCACCATTCAGCAACCACGTTACAATACTGATGACGACAAAGACATCATAATGGATGATTCACCACTACTTAAGGAGAAAGAGAAGATGAAAGGAAATAAAGGGAATGCCAAGACTAATACAAAAGTTTCAGATGAAAGGTCTAGAGCATTAGCCCCTATCGTAAATCGAGAAGAACCACGATATGTACCAAGAATTTCTGAACTTGCAGCAAAAACAGACTCGAGGCTATTATTAGACCGAATTTTAAATAGCCAGATTCAGATTTCAGCGCGGGAAATTCTCGCAGCATCAAAAGACCTATCAGGAAGCTTAATTGATCTCCTCAAACCAAAATCAGGAAAAGACCACATGGCCGTAGAAGCTTTTCTCACACGTGGACAAAATGTCAAAACACATGGAGATTTAATTTACATTGACGCAGATATCAATGGACAAAAAGTTAAGGCAATATTCGACACCGGGAGCGAGATCAATATTCTAAATACCTCTATTTATCGTCAAGGTTTAGGTTTACCTGCAGATATGAATCATAGGACCCAATTGAGAGATGCCAATGGGAATCTCGGAGAACTTGCTGGAATAATCCATGCCGCCCCTATCAACATTGGAAATATTCAGACATTACGAACTGTGCTTCTAAATGATCAGGCACCATTTGAATTATTATTAGGACACTCTTGGCAAACTGTCAACAGAGTGGGTCTTTCCGAAAGAAATGATGGGACCTATCTAACATTTCCTAATCCGGTATTAAATGATGCGCCCAAATTAGAACTTCTAATTTTACCTCAGGAAGAAGTCACCTGTTGCATGACTCATGAAGCACAGCCTTGGGAATTTCTGGAATGTTACTTCTCGACCCAAAAATGGCAACTACCATCTGACATAATCACATTAGTAACCATTATCTATGATATCATTCGAGTCATACTGATCTTAATAGTACATATTGCTTTGAACTTTGTAGAATCTTCCATGAGGATACTAACTATAGTTAAATTTAAATCTTATAGGTGGTTAGATATAAAAGAGGTTGAATTACTGAGAGGAATAGCAACCAAGTATACCATGGATCAAGCTACCTCCCTAATATTCCAACCAGATTCCCACAATTCTCGTTTACAAAGTACTCGAGAATTCAACACCTTTCGAGAAATTGCCGATCTTCTGGGCACACATGCCTTTTTGGGTAACCATGTGGGTGATTACGTAGCCCTAAATGCCCTACAGTACCAATCCTACGGCAACAAGATTCTCAATGCTTTCCCCTACCAATTATTATACACATTAGGCTCTCACTTTACGCTTCACGTGGGTCACAGCCACGATCAGCACCTTCCGATCGGCAGCCCAATACTTCCAGTCGATGCACACGAAATTTGGTCACCGTGTTTGGTAGCCTTTGGTTGTCGGCACCAAGTGGGACCTTTTCTCACAGACTACCATACAGTACTGGATCCTTCATCCACAAATCCTAATACTCCTCCTATTTTCGAATGCAACTTCGAAGACTTAGGGCGCGCCGTCGCTCCTGGTGTACATGGGTGATCTCAGTAATGGGAGTTTCTGTGAGTTGCTGAAAAGTGAATGGGAAAAGTGAACGGACGTGATATTTGATAGCCAGGTTTATTAGTTGAGCTGGGTAGAAGCGGAAATGTGCCGCAAACACATGAAAACAACAAATTCTCCCGCATGGCAGCATTAGTACATGTCGCAGAAATGGAGGAATTTTGTAAGCTCGTCAAGTGTATATGAGCCAGCACGCATCCTAGTACAATTGTCAAGTGGCTAAATCGAAGAACAAGGGATCAACATACCTTCCAAACGTAAGCTCAAGAAAACAACTCAAAGATGTCCCTGGGATATTCCTTCAAGGTGAATGGGCTTGTCATCGCTCATGCCATCCAGCTCCATTTGACTGCTGTTCTGTGTAGCAGCAAACATGTCATAAAAGACATTGGAAGCTGAAGATAAAATTGAACTGCAGGGCTTGTACAGTATGTTCTCAACCTGCTGGCACAAAATATTTCAAGCTGGGAGTCCAAAATAAAGAATAAATTAGTAAAACACACCTGGAAGATGTGGCTTGACGCATGAAAGTAGTCAACAGGGTGTCGAGTTGCCCTTGACATATTGACGATTCGAAAGGATTTACAAGAGCCTAACACATTGTGGCACATAGTAGACCGCCATCATACATTAATTCACTGGGGGATAGTCATTCATGGTTTTATTGACAGTCTCTGCAGAACAGTTTGATATGTCTGTTTGTACATGCGATAGTAAGGACTTCAGAGCCTGATGCAATAATATTGCAGAATAGGTCTATGACCTGTCGAAGAGTCTTATCTGCCCGCTCTGTATCCTCTGCATTCCATTCATCTCCTTCATCCCCATCATCTTCTTCATCCCCATCATCTCCTTCATCCCCAACATCTCCATCATCCCCATCATCCCCAACATCTCCATCATCCCCATCATCCCCATCATCTCCTTCATCCCTGTCATCTGTGAGGTCCAAAACATCACCGACAGAAGTCTGGTCCGAGTCGGGGGAGCTGTTATGGCACAAAAGGCGAGGGAGCATGGTAGTATGTATCAGAGATACGATAACGAGGCGTGACATTGGATTCAAGCTCCTTGCTTACTTAATGTAGTTTGTAGTTTGAAAAATTTAGTTGAAGTTGACGAAATCAGCATTCCCGAACGGAGTCTTAGCGTGCCATCACAACAGAACCCTTTTGATGATGATGCAACATGACAGCAGTTTTTGGCCACGCTTGAGAAGTTATAGCCAAGGATATCACACCAAACAATTTCAGACTAACATTAGATGACTGGGACGGAGATGACTACCCGACGTTTGAGACTATTACCTTTGGTTGATGAGGATCAAAAGAACTCCACATTTCACTTGCTGAACCAATCGTCTGAGTCTCTTGCTTCAAGTCATCTCCACATTCCCTTTCACCAGTGCCCTCCAACTCCCGAGCCATGGATCCCAATGGCAACAACTGGAATCAAGAGCTCTTCTGCAGAGGCCTCAAGTCAGACAGTCAAATGTGTGACTGTGAGGAGTTTTTCCCTCGCACACAGGATGAAGGCCATTGTGCGGAGTGTGGTCATGGTCACAGCAAACACCCCCGCAAAGCTTCAACAAGTCATGAACCAGTACCAGAAGTTCAAGAGGATGCTGATGAACAACCTCATTCAAGTTCTGCAGTCGCTATCAAGGATATCTTCACTAGAATTACTGGTGGAAAAACTGTCAATGATAACCTGAATTCTTGCCACTACAGGGAAGCAAGGAAGCCTAGTGCCACTCACCAGTGCTGAGAGGAGGCGTTATCAACTCTGTTGTCAACTCAGCTTGCTGGTTATCACAAGCTGGCCAAGGGCCCAACAACATCGGCAGGCTCGTGAAAGGTAAGTGCTGCCCTAGTAGTGCATGAAAATAGATTTACAATTGCATTCAGGATCGTAAGGAAATCACTGGCTCACAAATGGTTGGAAGCCAAGCACACAGGAACACAACTTCTAGTATCTCAATGTCAGGGAACACATTTCGTGTTGCATCAGTGGCCATGTTGACTTGCGGTGTTGATGTCAGTCAAGAGCCCTCTGAAGGTTAACTCGCTTACTCAGTTTTTGACAGAGGAACGGTCTTATCAGAGTGTCCAAAGTCCCAAGCAAGAATGGCCAAAACGAGATCCAGGCTATGAAAAATGTGGCTGTTACCTTGAACAACAGTTCATCATCGAAAGCGGATGGACTTATTTCAAGGTCACCAGTCAGTTACGAACTTGGTTTCCTAAAGTATTTGATTACCTCAATGTTCAAGTCGAGAAGCGACAATCAGCCATGTTATGTGAAGAGAAGCCAATTTGGCGGCTCCTCAACAAGTGCGGACAAATGCTAACAGTTGTTGATATCAGGTTTCCAGCTGGGAGTGATCTTGCGAAGCATAAGGGCCAGGACAAAGCAAGTGTTAGTGATTGTCATCTTTGGTTTGGTGCGTTCTCATTCATTTTTTGTTTCATTCAAGTTGTACTCATTGAATACTACTGGCATTAGTCACAAGGAACCAGATTCCTGACAGCATTTACGAGTTTTGGAACACTCAGCCTGTGATAGCTGGATCAGATTCTGAATGCGACAATGGTAACGACATGCTTTTGTCCGACACAGATGATTCAGTTAGCATCAAGTCGGACAATGATCTTGCAAGTTCGTTGATGGAACTTGATATGTCCTCAGATTTGGATGTTAAGGACCCAAAAGGCAAAGGCAAGGCAAAAGTGGCACCTGCTAGGTCACCAATGAGAAGACGGAACAGTGAGTACTATTTGTGATTCAAATTATAGCATGATTTACTCATCTGTTTCAATAGTGAAGCACAGTCATACTCTGCTTTCCCCGTCACCATCAGAAGCTACTAGGAAAGCAGTCCAGAAGAAACTCAAAAAGGGTTTGTCTCTCTCAAATGTGGTGACAACTGAGCTTATTTTATTTGTTGTTCTAGAGCCTGCAAATGACACCACTGTTCCCTTATTTTCGATGAACTCTGAATCTGCAAGCTCTGAACTCAAACCACCTCCATCAACCCAGCCCAGGGCTCAATCCAATAGTTATAGTGAGTTTACCATTCCACTCATTTATACTACTTGTTGATGAACATCTGTGCTGCTGTTATTCCAGAAACAGTATTGTTTCATACTACTAGTACGACTAGTCAAGTGCCAGGTACCCTCAAAGTAGAGAACAAGATATCCACTCCACCAGCCTTTGTGTCGGTCAGTGAAGCGGATGTCCTGTGGCGTGACAAGATACAGGACGATGACCCTTTCACAGAATATATCAATCCTTGGGACTTCCATTACTGTATGCTGAATCTTGCCAACCTCGAGTAATTTGAGAGTCGGCATAGGCTATTTCGCACAACATTAGAGAGGTGTGAGGAGTTGGGCATCATTGGACACAATTTACTAGAAATGCAGGGCCCAACTGACCAATCTGTGGGCAGACCAACTGTTGGAAAAATACTGGGAGTTGGAGAAAAAGAATCTCAAAGCCACCTCAGCTGTAGCTGATCCCAATGCCCAAGGTCAAAGAAAGTCCACACTGCCTTGGTTTTAGTCATTGGACATTAGAGGAGACTTAGTGCACAAGGGTTGATGATCAACTCACAATCCACCTGGCATATGCATTCAAAGTGTCAAAATCAGCCATAGCTGACCATGACCTCCCATTTTCTATTTTCCTTCACTCTAAAAACCTCTTCCTAATGCAGCTCAGCAAGGCAAAGTAGACTCAGTCCCACATTGACACCCTGTCACTGTTCTTTTGGCACCTGGAGAATCACTCCATCTGACCTCAGGGACTCAGTAACCTTGCACTATACCTCAAGACTGGCACCATCTCGCTTGAAGCTTTCAACATCACCATGATCAATGAAATCCTACTTTGTTTGATCAATGAAGAACTATGGGACAAAGTCCACTTGCAAACCCTAGCAGTGGTATGTTTTTTCCTAAAATCATCATCCAGGAACTCCTCTCTGACAAACACTCCACATATCCTCCTAAGAAATCTTGAATCGATCCCTTTCAAATGACTGTTCAATCATTCCCCACACATTTGCTTATGCAGATGCCCGCACACTTGCTCACACGGTTGCCCACAACATTAACGTGGATGCCCGCACACTTGCTTACGCGGATGCCGCATCTATGCTTACGTGGTTGCCCATACCTCTGCTTACACAGATGCCTGCACTTATGCTCATGCGGTTGCCCGTACCCATGGTTACACGGATGCCCATACTACTGCAAACATGGATGACTGTACCTCTTCCTACACGGTTGTCAACCTGCCCCTACCCTCATCCTAAATGCACTCACACACACAACCAGCCTAAAGTGGGTGAAGCATCATCAGCGCAACCCAAAAAAACCGATGAGCTACCGGACTATAACCGAGACTTGCGTGGAAACAACCAAGAGCAAACCTGTCAAAACTCGCGATCTCGGTCTCCTCATCGCCCAGGTAACAGAACTGAAAGCGATAACGCGAGGAACAACCAACAGCCTCGACGGGGTTTTTCTCAGAGCGCAGGCACCTGCGGTTGGTCAGCTCGGCCACTTTGCCCATGATATCCAGCATTGCAATTCCACAAAGCTGTGGGACAGCACCTCTGCATACTGCAAGAAGACAGACAACTGTCTGGTCAATCCCCAAGGAAGTCTACTGTGCTTCAAGTGGCAATGCCCCAACAGATGCTTTGCTGGGAACCACAAACTGCACCATGAGTGCTCGGGATGCGGAAGCAAAGAGCATGGTACTCAAGGATGTCCTCGAGGTGAGAAAGAGTAAAGTGTTCATGCCATACAAACCTCAGGGATGGGCTCATCTCCTCGAGGAAACAGGCCTTATTAGTAGATATCCACACATACCCAGTTGCCTTCTGTCGGGTTTTCTCTGGGGGCATTCCCCCAGTCAAATGTACATACAAACTGCTCTATTGAAGAGCATATTGAAGCCTTCTGGAACATCGTCAATCTTGAGTTTACGAAAGAGCGCTTCATTGGTTCTTTTATAGCCGAAGACCTCAAATCTTATATTGGATATTTATAGCTGAAGACCTCAAATCTTATATTGGATATTTTCAGACAGCCCCACTTTCCCTGGTACCTAAAACAGGAAAACCTAATAGATTTTCACCTTGTTCAAAACCTATCCTTCCCCATAACCCCTCCAAAACTATTTCATCTATTAATTCAAGGGTCGACTCAGACCTGTTTCCTTGTACCTACGGAACTTTTTCTACCATATGTCTATCCATTTGGCGCTTACCCCCAGGGTCACAAGGCGCAGTCCGCACGTGGCAGAGGCGTACGGAACCATACCTCTCCATCATTCACAATGGGCAGCCCTGGCCATCAAATTCCCTGGCAACGATGCCTTCACCATCGATACAGCCTTTTGCTTTGGTTTTGGACCCTCAGCCAGCATATACGGAAACATTAGTGATGCGGGGCTGGACATATTACAGGCAAAAGGAATCAGCCCTGCCTCCAAATGGGTTGATGACCACTTGTTTTTCCGGATTAAGTTGGTATTTCTGGCTGAATACAACGCTAGGCGTGCCCAGTGGGCTAGTGAGATTGCCGAGAATGGAGGTCTCATCATTAACGGGGGCCATAAATGGTATAAGGGCATTATCATGCCCAACGGCTCACCCAAAGAGTTTGACGAAGACGCATGGTTCCCAATCCAGGACCTATCCAAATGCTCCCTGTGCTCCAAAGAAGACGCATCATTTTCTTACTGCATGGATGACATCGACGAATTCTCCTCAAGAGATGGGCACCCCTTGGGAACCAGCCAAAGACATACCATTTCGTTTGATGCCCCCATTTACGGGGTTCATCTGGGACCTGGACAACCGGACGGTGGACCTTTCAACCAAGAAAAGGGTTAAGTACCTCCACACCATCACAGAATGGGAATCTAAATGTACGCACATGTTACATGAGGTCCAGAAGATGTACAGAAAGCTCCTACTCACTGCCCACATCATCCCATGGGCCAAGCTTACCTCACTAACCTCAAGGCTATGCTGGCCATATTCAATGACCAGCCCTTTCATCCTCGAACCTCTCTGCAAAACACACCAGATGACATCAATTGGTGGAAGAACTCCCTCAGCAAGGCTTACATATCCCACCCAATCCCCCGACCATGTGTTGTCCTCGACTTCCATGCCTATTCAGACGCTAGCTCTGGCCATGGAATCAGCATTGTCATCAACGGTTTCTGGAGGGCATGGGACCTCATACCGGGATGGAAGAGGGACAGTAGAGATATTAGATGGGCCAAAGGAGTTGGTTTCGAGTTTCTCATCCACACAATTGTCAGTTCTCAAGCCGTCAGAATTCATTTCAAGGTCTATGGGGACAACAGAGGCATTGTTGAAGGTTGGTGGGCAGGTCGAAGTAGAAACTGCACATCCAATGAAATATTCAAACGCATTCATCAAGTCCTCCCTACTCGATACATCCAAAGTAGGGACAACCCCGCAGATGGCCCTTCCTGTGGTTTATACCCTCCAGCCAAGTTCTTCCTGCCCCCAGTTGATATCCCACTGGAGCTATGGCCCTTCATTAGAGACATATTCAAAGCCACTGCCAACTCCAGGTACAAGCAGTGCCCAAACGCCTATGAATCATTTCACCCCAGTGGACAGAAGTGCTGCCGAACTCGAGATCCATCACAGAGCATTTGTTAACCGAGTTTGAGTGCCATGGAGAAGAACTGTTCAAAGTGTTGCAAAACTAGTAAGTCCTGCAAAGACATACTCATTCAATCCATTCCTTACCTATTTAAAAACTTTGCCCTCACTGCTTAGCAAGAGAGAGACTGCACACATGGCTCCCAGCATCCTCCCAAGATGCTTGAGATAGGGAAGGAAACATTGTTCCCCTACTCCTTCAACGCATTCGAGACACCATAATTCACGTGTATGCCAAGGCAACGCATGAGACATACGGCTCAGGATTACTGACCTTTCACATATACTGTGACAGCAAAATGATCCCCAAACACCAGCGCGCCCCGGCCAGCAATATCCTCATATCAGCTTTCATCACCTCCATGGCAGGACACTATTCAGCCAAGACGATAGTCAACTATGTCTGGGTGTGCGCGCCTGGCACATTTTGCATGGCTTAACCTGGTCCCTGAATGACATGGAAATAGACGCCCTACTGAAAGCTTCCATATCTCTCACTCCTGCATCTGCAGAAGAGGAGCAAATGCAAACCCTACACCATCGACATCATTATGGCCATCCATGAACAACTTAACCTATCCAACCCCTGAGATGCAGGGTGTTCGCATGCCTGACCATAGCCTTCTATGCCACGGCTCGGGCTGGGAGTTCACAATCCCTCGCCTCAATGCTTTCAACCCAGTGATACACATGAAACTGTCCAATGTTATTGACACCCGTGATCACCAAAACCTCCTCATGAAGACTTTCTTCCTTCCCAGAACAAAGAGCACCCTAGAAGGAGAAGAGGTGTCCTGGCTAAGCAGACAGGACCCTCAGACCCAGACGAGGCCTTCTCCAATCACCTGCACATTAATGAGCCCCCCTGTGATAATGCCCTATTTGCTTACCATCACAACCATTCGCACCATCCACTGACAAAGACCAAATTCTTGCAACACTTGACATCTGCAATGAAAGCTGCTGGGCGTCTTCCAGTACTGGAATTCAGATCGGATCAACTCTTGAATACCTGCTTCAAAATGTCCCCTTCGACATTGTTTAAGTGAAAGGGCGCTGGTCAAGTGATGCTTTCCTTACCTACCTGCATTGTCACACCCCAAATCCTGGCCCCTTACATGCGGGCCACGCCCGTATTGCAGGAACAATTCCTTCGCCACACCTTAACCTTGCCCCCCAGTCCACTGATACCCTAGTGAGTATCCTCCTCCTAAAATCTGGGTTTCTGAGTTTCGCTGGATGCATCGTCAGCTCTCCTAACCAATGGGAATTGCAGCTCACCTCTCTCTTTCAGGTTAGTCCCTCAGGGCCAGAAGACGCTGCACATCCTCGCCCAAAAACTCTTGTTTCTCATTCCAGAATCACTTCGCCGTAGAACTTACTCAGCACCTTGTCCCTCATTAGACCAATGTATAATGACCACTCTCCCTAAGAACATGTCTGAGTGAACCTCAAAGTTGAACCAAGGAGGGTTGTCAGACACAACAGTCGAATAGAGGAGCAGATTAGTTTTATTATCTCATAGATGAATTTCTGGAGCACCTGTCATGATCATTCTTGGCTATTAATTTCAGAGTCCAATTGATCATGCCCCTTTCCCTTCTGCCCCACCTATCAAGTGTGCTAAATGATTAGCATGAACTGGAGCAGACTCATCTGTCTGCACTATGTGTAAAGTATGATTAGTTGACTTGGTGGTAGTAATCACCCTCTTCATGCACTTTCTGAGTGAGTGCAGTGAGATAAATCCCCATAGACCTGTCCATGACTGAAGATAGGAGTCCACTGCAAGATGAACAGGGAATTAGTGACACTTAAGAGGAATAGGGTCAAGTGAATCGAGGTGATCGAAGAGCAGGTGAGCTAGGAAACAAGTATAATCTCAGTCTCTGGAAAGAACTCATTGATCGAACCATGTACCTAGGAAACAAGTATACTACAGCTCGTCAGCGTATTGTAAGGTGTGCTTGAAATGGGGCACTTACATCTCAGTCTCTGGAAAGAACTGAGATGCTACTACGAAGTCCCGGTACTCTATATAGCGGATGGACTTGGGATTAAAATTGTAAGTGTCAAATAACTGATATTGGTGAGCGCGAGCTGACGTCATACTTGCTCGCTCATTACTCTTTTGGGCTGCACTCGCACTCTTCTAGCTCCTCATCCTCCCTATCTCAGATCCGTCAGTCATCGACTTGTCGGATCGTTTGGCGTCCAACATAGGGTTATGTTCAGAAGTGACATCCAGGGTCATGCAATGGATTAGGAACCTGGACTGTGTTCTGGTCATCTTAGTGAGCTTCATCAACTCCATTCCTAAGGCTTCCTGGCCTTGGCTGCATCCTAATAATCATAGACCACATTAAAGAATGAATCTATGAATTTTACTGTCTAAACCATTTTCCCTGACCCCCATCTTCCAATCCTCCCGTCCTCCCGTCCTCCCATCTTACTATTCACAGCTATAAATGCCCAGCCAGATAAAGATGTAGAAGGAAAAACTCACATGGTGACCACAGGCAGCCACATGTCATGTGAAATGTGCCAGTGCCAGTATCTGGCTCAGGGAGGCTGTTGTCAAGTGCTGAGAGCTCCATGGGGCAGGGAGAGGTGGTGGTTGCATGCTGGAAGTAGTTGGAGGCCATGGATGGTAGCAAGGGCACAGGAATGGCAAAAACAATTGTTGAGAGGGGTGAGGTTTGACCTGTCATGTCTTGTCACATCAAATGGACACTGGTGCCCTGACTACAGGTCACATAAATCTTGCACTGTGTTTGTCCATTGTGGATATTGAATCAGTGCTTGAAAGGCAAGTTTCCAAAAACAGGTTTAAGGGAACCACATGGGTACCATGTGAGGTTCCATGTGGGCAAGACCACTCTCCCACACCATCACACCTTACTTTATAGATGCATCTCCACCATCACCTCAGTGACAGTGTGCACTTGGTTCCAACTGATCAATTTAGCTCATATCAATATAACAAAAAAATAGTTGCAAAGTGTATTGAATGGATTAAACTTGATAAGACCTCATACATCTTGGAATTCTGAAAGACAATTTCTGAGATCTACTATTGCATCTAGTTCCCCAGCAGTTGTCAGGATTCTGGGCAAATCCCTTGCAGCAATGTCCATGTGTTGAAGGATCTTCTGTGCAATGGCAATGGCTCTATCCTTGCTTGAGGATTGGATAGCTTTGGGGGCATTTTTCTTGAGGATGGTTGATTTGGAGCCTTGTGCAACATATTTTTCAGCAGACAGAACCATATGGCACAGAGCCAATAAGGGTCTTCTGTGAGGTACTTTCCAGAGAAATAACATTAAACCATCATCACTATTTATCAGGTAGTATTCTTACCTTCATTTGGTGGCAACCGTGGAATGACAGCTGTCATCCTCCATAGTGTCTCTTCAGTGTGTTCATGAGCCTGATTGGTGAGAAGCAAGCCTGCACAGCGATCCAGCCATCTTGACAGTTCAGTAAATGGAAGTGTCTCATAGCTGTAGAAGTGGCCGCCACGTGTGAAACTGGGGATTGGTGTATACACAGAATGTAATTGACCAGGTGGCTGGATTCTAGGAATAAATTTGATCAATACACTATCCTCCCCTCCTTGATAACAATAACATATTTTACTTACATTAGATCTCCTGGGTATACTGTAACACTCTCTGCCGCAAACTGACTGAAATCATATTTGTCACAAAGTGACGTTGATGCTTGAAGTAAAGCCTGGCGATCCTGGTGATCTTTGTAGAAAAACCAAACCCAGAATTTCAAACCAATATCTCCAATGACAAAGGTGTTTTGTCCCTCAGAGTCATGATGCGGTGTAGTGACCACACCACCTTGGTGAATTAATCCCCAACCATTCACAAGAAAGTTGTCTGGATGAACAAACTTTCCTTCCAAAGGACAATCTCGGATAGATCGGTGCCACGCCATAAGGCCATCATCCAGTACACTTAACCTAAATCAATGACTAGATAGATGCAGATGAGATTAAACGCACCTTAATTCCTCAGGTAAACCAGTATATATCAGGCAATCCAGGATGCATCGCTGCTCATTGGGATTGAATATACCACCAATCAGATCCCCCACAGTCCCTGTAACATGAGGTTTGCTGGACTCCTTTGCTCGAAGCTCCATATCTAAATAGATATTCAGCAAGCGAGTCATATTGCAGAGATAAGAAAACCAGACCATGCATATCCACACGCATTGAGGACTGAATGCGATACCTTTTCTCCAGATACTCCATACTCAACTCAAGAGGCCCAGGTTTTGCTGCTCCCCTAACAACCACACATTTACCCTCTCCAAGACTAGCCCGAATTCCTAGAATTAGTTCATCCCTAGATGTGTCCTGGAAATTAAAATGGGTGACAAATTCAGACCCTGGTTTTGATGTTGGAACCTCCGCCAACTTCTTGGTGAGCTCTGCATCCTCGGTCAACACATTGTGTCCTTCCCGCATCACAGTAGGTAATACGGTGATATGTCCATCTGACCAGGTGACAATTTCTGCATCCCCTGGTACTTGTGTACCTCGCATCTGGGATGCACAATCTAGATTGAGACGTTCATCTAGCTGGGAGTGGCAGCCTGATGGCGGTGGGACTGGTGGAGGAGGATGAGTGGGGTCTGGAGTACTAGTAATTGTTGGCGAGGCTCCTTGAAGCTTCCTGGCTGCCCGCAATTTTCGTTTGCAAGCTGCTTGGGCAGCACGACGCCTTGCTTTCTTCTCGGGGCTAAATTTAGCTTCATGTGTGCGGTTGTACTTCCGCTTCGTCTCAGGGGAAACACGTGTCACTGTAGAAATAACTGTTAAGTCTTTATATATCCAAAGAGAGAGAAAGAAAAATACTTGAGATTTAGCGCAGCTGAAATATTAGGAGCAACAGAACTGACAACAGATGCAGTGTCGAGAAGGGCAACAGAATCGGCAACAGACTCTCGGAGACTCGTGGAAAAGTTGAGGGCAGGCAAAGAGGGGCAACAGAGGGGCAACAGAACTGGCAACTGAGGGCAACAGATGGGCAACAGAATCGGATTTCACTCCAGAGTCTATAATCCTCGGGTACGGTTTCTGCAGCCGTTTTTCGATGCCAGGGGCATTCATGATCCTTTACTCCAAATACTAGAACACGGCGGGCCTGAATTACTACAATCCTGCGCCATGTCCGGGACAAAGCAGACTCACCTTTCATCTTTCATTGCACGGGTTCATTCATGCTTCTTTTCATCTCGGTAGTTTCTCAATTTTGGTCAGCTGGGAAAGATCAGACAGGAATCATCGTTACCATCCTTCTCCAAGTCAAGGTAAAGAGTCGCTGCCGTTAGTCCCTTTCATCATAACCTCATTCCTTTCAGTTAGCAGGTGCCAGGCGTGAACAATCACTGTATCTCACAAGATTAATAACTTCCTTACACGAGTAAGACCGCAACGACTCTTGAAAGAGCCTTTTTTCACTACCAACTCTGAAGCTCTCTCGTGTGCCCCGTCCAGGTTTTGCCCATGTCGACGTTCCACAATTTCATTGCGCCATCCTCACTCCCGCTTGCTACGGTCTTACCGCACGGCGATAATGCTATGGCAGACACACCTCGTTCTTTGTCCTCCAATCCCTCCCCAACCTGCGTGCCCCTCTCCAAGTCCAAGACTCGAAATGACCCATCAAATGAATAGATGATAACCCGCTGTCCACCTGGCAGGTGTAGGATGTGTCTGATGCCGTCCTCTACTTTGATCTTTCGATAAGGCATTGTCGCTGAATTCTTGTGCCTCGCAGGGGCTGGATACCCCCCGATGTTGGGTTCGGGATTCACTTAGCAGGTGCGTGATAATTTTAGCTCTTACCATCAATTGCCATACGAATTCATGACTTACTCAGAATCCAGATGGACTCGACTCGTACACAGAAAGACGAATGCGGCAATGTACACGCTGACATCCCGGTATACGTCTTTCCTTCAAATCACAAAAATTGCTCAACCCAGACATGACTATGTATGATCATGTGACTGTCTATGGTATCAGTGCTGTCGGGTATATCGGCTGCTGGCCCAGGTATGTCTTGTCCTAGGGAACGCTAAGTTCGATCAAGATGAGCGTCTACACCATAGTTTAGCTTGCGACATTGTTCGTCATCTAGATAGTTCAGACATTGTAGATCACTCATATATATACATGCAATGAATTGTATTTTGTATCTGTACGATGGAACAAGAACATATAATACAGTGTAATGTACGGAAGTGCGTAGACACATTATTAGGTTGAGACGATGATTGTACTGAAGAAATACTGACATGTTCAATAAGATAGCCCTGGAAGACGCCTTCAAGTTCGATCATAGCTTCATCGTCGTAGTCACGTCCAGGTGTGTTCCCAGATCAAAGGAATGCGGGAAAGTCATTCGCAGTCATGAGGATTCCTCCGCTGGAAAGTTTCTTCTAATCTCTTCAGTTTTCACATACTCCAGAAGGATGCTAGCGCACCTTCTTTGGTGCTTTCTGGTGCAGCAACCTAAGATACTCATGCTCGCTCAAAAACTATATCGTCAACTCATCAACCGTCGCCTGATAATTAAACTGGTCTACTTACTCGGGCACTGGTGAAGGAGGTGTTGGAGCTGGAGCTGGTGGAGGTGGCGGAGCACCCAGTACACTATTTGATGACATGCGAGATCAAGGCCTGCTCGAAGATTCCCTGATAGTAGTTTGCGTTGTCCCTGAGCGAGGATGCCGATCCTTATCGGATGAAGATGATGGCTGGTTATCGCCCACTGACTCGGGAGAAGAGGCACCTCTTGACAGTGGTTGTGCAGTGTAGATTGGAGAATTTGAGTTGGGGAGCTTGCTGGCACGATTGACTTCACTGCTGTTTTCTGTCCGAATAGACCCTCCACTGGCCCGGGTATGTTTTGGATGACGTTCGAAAGTAGCTTGTTGAATCATACACGCCACCCAGAAGAAAAGGATGTCCCAGCCTGTTTCAAGGATATTGGTAGGGATGATACCGAGGAAAATCGGCAGTCTGTTGGTGGACGATTAATGCCAGCCAGTTTACGGTATGAAACACTGCCTTTTATGGCCGTCAGGATCGAGAAGGACCACAGTCCAGAGGACCAAGTATCGAGGACATCTTCATATTGCTCAAGTGTAAAATTCTTCCCGCGTGCAAGGATTTTCCAGTTCTTGCCATCGTTTTTCTGCATTCAAGAGTAAGCGCACAAGTGTTGGACTGATCATTGAAATACTAACGTCGATATCTTCTCCCTCAATTCGGATGAAATAGGCTGGGCATCGGTCACCCACCATAACTGCCGCGAGATACACCAGTGCCATATGTTTTCAGTCAGTCGCGAATGAGACGAGTGCCGTGGTCAGGCTTGGGTGCAACATGGAACCTCCTCCTGCTCGGTATCGCCGATAGTGTAGTTGGGGGCGAAATATGCTCACAAGCAAAAATCTTAAGAATTAATACTATCATTATGAGCGACGCGTGTGGTGTCAACGAGACGCACCGTCGATGTGGCTCACCAGTTCGGCACATGGAGTTCTGGTTCTCGGTGGTGGATTTACAGATGTTGTAGCCAACCTGAGAGTCACGAATAGCAGCGGTGTTGTAGTCGACTTGGTACAGCTTAAAAAATGCTCCGGTGTGAACATGATATGCAACGGAAGAGGAATTGAAACTCACAATTCCTGGCGGGCAGGCATAGGTCTTGTCTACAAGTGGAGTTGGGTCAGCTGTGTCAGGTTGAGTGAAGAAACGTTTTAAAGTGGCAGTGATGGCGAAAAGCACGGAAAGAGTGAGACGAGACATGTCTCAAAGTTCAGTGGTGGAGAGAAAAGAAAGGCAGTAAAGAACACTTTGGCTTGTGGCGTGTGGGGAACGTCTAGCTTAGCCAAGCTGCTAGGGTCAACATTGATCATGGCTTGAATACGTGGATTCACAAGGGTATTTAACACAGTGCGGCAGTGCCAACTCTGTCCATCCGCGGGCAGTATAGTATCTGGACACTGACCCATTATAGTAGTTCGTTTGGAAAGCCTGTGCCCTGTTTGTGCAGGACGTCTTTGAGGGCAACGCGGTGAAGGTCTATACACGACAACTATCAATGTCTCGCATAAAGTATTATAGCCAGATGACATACCGTGATTCAAGCTTGAAGGCGAGCGCACTCCACGGCTCCCTCTCTGAACTTCCAGCAACACGCTTGGGTTGCAGCCTCTTCTCCGCCACTTCCGTCTAGTTATGCCTTTCGCCCGCTGGTACACCAAAGAGAGTTAAGAACTAGCAATGGGGTGGGGCAATTTGATTGCTTGTGTGTTGGTAAGGATATGATTGATGCGAAACGTGATCGAGACGGCGAGCAAGACTGCAAAACGGAGAAAGTCAGGGATTTGGACACTCTGCGGCCAAAGTCTGGAACCCATTGACAAGTCCGGCGGAGTCCAGCTGAGTTTGACTCAGCAACAAGAATGATTTTAAAGGAAGAAGCTCAACTGCCATTACTGCACATTCCAAGTCTGTTCGCAGAGGGAAACTATGTTCCAATGTGTCCTCTATGTCTGAGTCATTGCCTTCGTTGCAGCCTCCAACTTCCACTCAAACTTTTTGTGCTGTTCAATGACCATCCCTCGTGTGGGTCGCCTCGAACAAGGCCCTTCATCGTCACCTTCGTGTATTCTTTGAGCGAGAGCCAGAAATTGGCCAGACGCTGTGTTGTGCCTTCGACTAACGCGCACGCAGGTCAAGAGACAGTAGATACGGAAAATTGGAAGGGAACTTACAGTCATGAAAATCCGACTCGACCGAGTCTTCACATGGCAATGAGTTCAACAACAACGAAACAAGTAGTGTTACTCACGGAGGAATAATCTCAACCACGTGATCGTTCTTCTCGTTGAGCTGACCAGCGAGTGAGATGCTCAAGTTGGTAGATTTTGTCGCACAGCAGTGATTTCAGCGGCAGGAACGACGGACAGCCCTGAATAAACTGTGTAAAAGAACGTCAGACAGCCTTGCTTCTGCACAAGGGTTAAAAATACTCATACCCCAAGCTCGATAAGATGAGGGAGGAAGGTGATCATCCTGACAATTGAGGTGTGGTTGGTGGCGAGTTCACACTTGAGAGCTGACCGAGATGAGAACGCCATGAGTAATCATAGATGCACCGTGACAGCAGGAGACCTACATTCGGGATAAACGGCTTCTGGCTTAGTGAAGTCGAAGGCCCGTTGAATGCCATTCGAGAACAAGAACCTAGACAGCCGGTCAGTGCCGATTTGCATGGGATAGTGCTAGGGGCACATACATCTGGGTAAGTGTTGACGATATCTTCGATGGAAGACTTGAGAACGCTGCGCTCTGAAAGAACGTCAAGAGTAACGCTCTTGAGTCGTCCGGTAGCAATGTGTAAGGCAACCAGTTCATCGAGCCTTTCCTTGCAGCGACTGCAGACAATATTGACGGTTAGCAGGGCAAGAGTACGACCTATTTCTGCAGCGGATCCAACGACCAAGACACACTGAGAATCGATGATGTTGGCCATGATAAAAGAGTGAGTTTGCGGTAGTAATTCGCTGGGAAAGGGGGGACGAAGGTGCTGACCTTTATACCTACGACCACCTGTTCAATCTAAAGTGAACCGATCATGGCCCGTGACGATGCATGACTCAATGATGCATGCGAACGATATCGCGGTGCGAGACTCATCTTCGGTATTTTCAGCTGTGTAACAAGGAATGATAATTGATACTTAGTTAGGATCCATAATCAAGAAGGAACGACTGTCCTCCAGGTTCCTTCTATATCCAGGTCTGACTACGATGGACTCTGATCGGATCCCCGACTCCCACGGTTACAGATGCGGCAAACGTGCCGGTGAAATGTTGGGGGCAACAGAACGGCAACAGAGAATGGCAACAGAACGGGCAACAGACTCGTGGAAAAGTTGAGGGCAATAGAAAGGCGAAGAGGGACAACTGGGGCAACAGAATCGGGAACTGAGAAGGAGCTTTGAGGGCTGCGGTAGAGCGGCGTACAGACTGGCCGGGCGTTGGGTTGGCAGGGTGCTATAGTAGAAGCGCGGCCTGTGTAGCGTCCGGCTATAAGTCCAGCTCATGATATGATCTAGTCTAACAATTTGAAGTCAATTTGAAGCTGCGCGGTGCTGATCACCACATGATAGGTTTATTTTTCTTCGACAACCGTGACACTGACGTACATATATATTCACTCCATGATACTGTACGGTTTCTGCAGCCATTTTTCGAGACCGGCAGGCTTTCATGGTCCTCTAATACTAGAACACGGCGGGCCCGCATTGATACCATAATATTATGTGCCATGTCCCGGACAAACCAAACCCTCCCTTCATCTTTCACTGCACCCGTGGGGGTTCGTTCATACTTCTTTTCATCTCGCTAGTTTCGACTCGATTTTTGCCGGCTGGGAAAGATCGGACAGGAATCATCGTTGCCATCCTTCTCAAGGTAAAGATTCGCTGCCGTTAGTCCGACTTTCAGCATCATAACCTCATTCCTTCCAGCTAGCGGGTATGGACAATCACTTTATCCCAGATTAATAACTCCCTTACGCGAGTAAGACCGCGCAAGGGTCCAAGGAAAACTCTTGAAAGAGCCTTTGTTCACTGCCAACTCTGAAGCTGCAATGCACATGCTGACATCTCGGTATGCGAAACTCTGAGTCAAATCGTTTTCTATCATTAGAGTATCATGTGCACTCATGCTGCTGGTAAGATATAGTTTAATCTACACAATGCCTTATCTTAAGTACTTCTCCAAGGTGTCGCTGCTCACTTGCCACTATACAACTTCTCGTTCAAAACATCACCTCCATCGGCGTTCGACCCATGGGGCACGGCTGGCGTGCAGAATATTTTTAAAAAACTCCACAAATACCGAGTTTGCCGACTGGGATCATGGTGTCGTCTATGCGAATGCACAGAACCTGTCAAGAACAGTGAGTTCATGAAACGGGGGTGGTCTCTCGATCCGCAGAGAATATAACCGACTTCAATAGTTAATGGAATTGCCCGTGAATATGATGACACGTACTGTACGTTTATCTTTGAGCTCTGCAAGCGATTGAATTCATGTTACTATGTTGCAAGGCATTCTGCGAGCGCGCCAAAACAGAGTTTATCGGTATCCCTAACGTGGAGATCATTGTCCGTAACGAAGGTTAGATATTCTATTGCGTTTGAGGTTCTCTTAACATATGCACTGATGCCTCGACAACTTGGGAGTCTGAAAAGGACATGGTACACTTTTTACACTCGATGTATGTTTGATATTGGCATGTTCTCTTGTAGCGCATCTTACTCTCGGTAACTCAAGGGGCTGATCAGCCTGCGAGGTCCCTCTAGATGTAAGCATGCCCTATCCTCTTTGTCTGTAGTATCTTTTACAGTTTGATGGTTGTAAAAGTCACTACAAGGACGCCTGTTCAAAAGACGCACAACCTCTTGCTTTCGTGGGCAAGGGCATCTCTTTCGACATCGGAGGAATCAGATTGAAACCTTCAGCAGTAAGACCATCGCTCTTCAACTGGAAGGTCTTTCGCTCACCATACCTAAATGGATACAGGACATGAAGCTGATGCGCGGCGATATGGGCATAATCCGAACTGAGCTTGAAAGTGGCCACTAACTTTGAACTGCAACTTAAAGCGGGGCGGCTGCAGTCGTATCATCTCTACTCGCGATCGCTCAGCTTCAACTCCCGTACGTTTGTGTCCACTTCAATCTACACTTATTCTCATCTATCTTGGTTGCAGAATCAATATTGTCACCGTCACTCCAACTTGCCCGGCCCCAAAGCCATCAAGCCAGACGATGTGTAAGTTCCGGAATGCGATATTAGTCACTGGCATGTATTGGACTGAGCATCTGCCAGAATCTACGCTATGAATGGTAGATCCGTTGAGGTCGACAACATGGATGCTGAAGGTCGTCTTGTTCTAGTTGGTGCGTACTCTTGCTATCTACTGACGTCGTGATGAATTTTAACATTCTCAAAGATGCGTTGTACTACACATCAGCCGAGTTCAAGCCGCACACGGTCATCGACGTTGCCACTCTCATCGGGTATGTATTGATTGTTCACGCTTCTCTGCCTGAATTTATTATTGATAGGGCTGCGGAAGTCGCGCTGGGTGAGATCTACACCGGTGTTTTCACGGTTCGTCGTTTCATCACTACCCGCCGACATCTCGTTGACTGAACTCTTGTATTAGACCTCCGAAACCGACTGAGTGTTGCCGGAGAGAGCGAGTACGATCACTTCTAGCGCATGCTCCTCGACGAGGACTATGGTACACAGATTCTAACGCTGACTTGTGCAACGTAAGCCATCTATCTTCACGTTAGTCTTGCTTGAACTTACACTGTCCTTCATTTTTAAACTGGAGGGAAACCAGCAGGTTCATGTACCGCTGCACTATTCCTTAAGGCGTTCGTAGACGGCATCAAGGCCAAGGATGGACAGGAACCCTCTGTCCGATGGGCACCTTGATATTGCTTGGACTACGGAGTTAAGAACTTGTCGCTTGTGAAATCAAATGCAGGACGTATGTCATGAGCACAAGTGCGATCTAAACAATGGCGTTGTTCGCAATGCAGCTTTTATTGTGACTGCCTCTCCATTATTAGTTCCAATCTCTGATAATTTCATTGTAGTTCACGCGCCCACCATACCAGGAGAAAGGAATGACTGGGCGTCCTGTTCGGTAAATCATTTCAAACAAAATTTAGGTGATACATCCCAACATCATCGTTCAGTGCATTGGTATAATTTGTCAGACGTCTCTCAAGCCAAGAATGAGATGTGCAGAGATGGGTATTGCTCACTACGATAGGCCTCTATTTTGCACGTTTTGCAAAATGTCAATGACCAGGTTAGCGGTGATGAAATCTATGTTCCCAGTCCAATAGAATATTTGACTGAATGATTACCTGATTTGTGTAGACTAACTTTCTGACGTTTATTGAGATTCCTGCCCGGATCACCAGTGTAATCAACAGCATGGACATGTAAAACGTAGACGATACCATCAGTGCGCTCAGTATTTCAGCAATGCAACGTCGATGTGCTGTGGGTACTCTCCCCTCCTGGGGACCGATCTCACGAGGACGAGCGAGAATAGCGCCAGATAGAGATAGAGTGACATGGAGATCGCTGACAACTGATTGGGTGGGGAAAATGAGGATCGTGGATTGCTTGAACAACATCATCTTCGCGTAAATTAGATGCCCAGCTCTGTTTGGATTGTGTGTATAAATTGTATTGACGAAGATGAACTTCGACTCGATCTGGTATCAGATGAGCGTAGGAAACCCAGATACGAACAGGAAAAGGTCAGAAGGCTGTATAGTTTACAATAAAATGGGTCAGCCTTGGACAGGACTCGAATAATATTGTCATCCCCTACTATACGAAGTAGGGAGGGGTTTTGTAGGATCCGAAAATTCAGGCACTTGTTGCTCGACTTTACACAGTGTGAACTTCCTTCCTTTTATGTCCAACGGTCCTTTGTCCGTCAACATTCTAGAATCACGTTCTTAAGCGTTTGGCATTCTGCAGTAGCACGCCAGGTGCCGAAAAAGATAGCGGGTTTGGCCACTTGTCAAGTACTTTGTGCTGGCGCTACCAGCTTAATTATAGAAAGAACGGTGGGAAAATGACGCAGACGTGAAAAGATAACATTTTGGATCACATTCGCGGAGTCGGGGATGAACGATAGTTATATAGCACACGGTAACGACGAG